AGTTCGAGGAATAAAAACTGATTTTCGATGTGAAAGGCACAGTTGCATTGAAATAGAACTATTTATCCCAGCATGGAGTTCAGGGAGTATCAAATATTTGGAAACAGGCTTCCTTTGGAAAATTTCAAATCATGCTCAGGATGTTTCAGTTTGGCTGATAATGAAAAAATTCCTTTATATAAATTGTTTTGTGGACTTATCCTTTGATAAATGTTTTTAAAAGATAATTAGATTTAAAACTTGTTCATTTATTCCATTTCAACTTCTAAATTAAATGTCAGCATGGAAAGAATTTTTCTTATCTTGGCTAAGTCATGACACTAATAATTTGAGTATTGAGTCAGTACTCGAATAGTGTATATTCTAAAAATAGTTTCCTGTTTTGGAAGGAAAAGACAAGTGTTATAAGTTAAAAGAGTAAAATCTAGATAAAAGCCACATGATGTTAAATACATGACATAATTTTGAATGATGTCGATTAACTTCCCAGATCATTTAAATTTCTTTTTCTGCATTAACATATTATTTTACAAGTGTGTTCAGAAACCACCTGGAAACCCTGATGGTATAACTTGCTCAGCTGTCGGTTGGATTCCTAATCTTACAAAACAAAATTCTGACCTGGTGTTGGGAAGAACAGAGAGCCAGGCAGCCTACCTGAGAAAAAGGTTCCCGCCTCCCAGGGGTGGCGATGGAGTTGAGTGTGTATCTGTATAAAAAATGATACTACTGACAATGGAAACAAACTGGATCTGTTAAAGAACCATGAATCCATGAAAAAGGAAAGTTGAAGTGTGCTAAGACGTAGTTTGGATATAATTTATAGCAAACCTGACATACAGGTTGGGCCAAAGCAGGTTTACAGTTGCTCACATGGAAAACGACGCAACAGTTGCTACATGCTACAAGAATAAACGCTGGGTTGCACGTACTCGAGACTGTGCACCTGCTTTGCCCTGCCTTGTATACTGACTATGTGCAGTGTCCACTGATCTGTGGTGGCGATAAGCTGGTAAGGGAATGGGGGAGTTTTAGAATGCAAGGAGACATTAGCAACCGTGCAGTCTGATTTTCTTATCCCAGAGATTAGACCAGTGATTTGCCTAAAATCAGACAAGTATTGATTATTAGATTTGGGACTAAATTTCTTTCTTCCTCTTTTCAACCCAGATTTACCAAGAACCTGTTATTGTGAGAAGTTGTTCTACATAGTGGGGCTACAGGGCTGAACAACTGAAGTTTGTCCCTCATGGGGTTTATATGCCAAAGTAGGAGGCGGGCAGTAATCAAAGAGCTGTGCAATAAGATGATGGCATTGAGAAGAGGCAGGAGGAAGGACAAAGCAAGGGGAGGAATGGAGGTGACAGGGAATGCTGTTTTTGGGTAGGATGGTCAAAAAGTCTCACTGAAGCAAAGACCTTTTAGTGAAACCTGAGTGATAATCTTGAGGAAGAATGTTCTAGGAAAAGAGAACCAAAAGTGCAGATGCTTAGTGTGCTCCTAGAACAGCAAGGGGGTCAGTGTGGCTCCAGCAGGTAAGCCAGGGGCATGAGTGGTGGGCTGTGGCGGGGAGAGGAGGCTGAGTGCCAGGTCATCTAGGGATCGGGTGGCCATGGTAAGTAAGTGGACCCTTTAACAGCGGGGTTTGAGCCCTGGCAAGGTAGCTCAGTTGATTAGAGCATCGTTCTGATACACCAAGGTTGCAAGTTTGATCCCTGGTCAGGGCACGTACAAGAAGCAATCAATGAATGCATAAATAAGTGGAACATCAAATAGATGACTCTCTGCCTGTCTGTCTCAAATCAATTTAAAAAATGCATTTAACTGTGTGGGTCCATTTATATGAAGATTTTTCAATAAATATGTATAGTACTGCAAATACATTGTCTCTCCTTTATGATTTTTTAAATATGATTTTCTTTTCATAGCTTACTTTATTGTAAGAATGCAGAACATAATTCATAGAACATACAAAATATGTGTTATTTGACTTCTATGTTATTGGTAAGAGTTCCAGTCAACGGTAGGCTGTTTTGGGAGTCAAAAGTTATACATGATTTTTCAACTGCTTGGAGGTTGGCCTCCCTTAACCCGCATGTTATTCAAGAGTCAAGTGTACTTTGGGATTTATTCCTGGTGTGCAGGGAAGACATTGGAGAGTCTTGTGCAGGGAACTAGCACAATCTGACTTCAGTTCTGAAAGGTACACTCTGGCTGCTGTAGACTAGTCCTCAGAGAGACTAGAATGGAAGAGACACAGAGGTGGGAGTTTTGTAGTGAGAGACCAAGAAGAGGGGGAATTAGGAGGAGGGAGTGAGAGAGTCATAGCTTGATGACTTCTTGATACATCTTAAAGGTAGAGCAACAAGTTTTGCAGAAGAATCAAATGTGGGATATGAGGGATACCCAGGGTCCTCAACAGTTTTGCCCGTTCCCTTTCCCCTCACTAGGCCATGTTAGGGTGCTTTTCCTGGATTTAATTTTGCTCTTTTTCTCTGAAGCATGTGTAAGTTAAGGTTTAAGACTGTGTGCTGGGCAGATGATCCTTCTCATTTGCATATAGTATAATGTTTGTTTACAGCACATCTGCCTACAGGTGTCCCAGACTTTGTATCTGATTTACATAAATGTCTGCATCTGGTTCCATTTTAGTTTGCATTTGGAAACTTAATAGTATTCTACTTTAATCTCTGCATTGACCTAAACATTGCAGAGTCTTTTTGAGGTTAGATTTGCTTCAAGATAGATGGTGCATTAATATGACTACTGTAGCTCTGTGTATTGGCACTAAAGAAATTATCCTGGGAAAAAAAGAGAGAATCTATTAGTTTGTGCCTGCTTGCAGCAGATAAGAGCTTGCGTGTAGAACAGACCTAATAACGCAGACTTCCAGTAGTGCCAGCTCATTAAGTGGCCTGGAGGACAGCAGTGTGGGAGAGCAGTCTCCTTTGCTGTGGTGCAGTGACACTGGACTTGACCCTGAATTGATGCCAAAGGCAGATCCATTGGATTTGTGAATGCTGATTGTCATCTGCGCACCCCCCCCCGCCCCCCCCAAACAATGGGAACTCAGGTTAAGTCAGGATTTCAGCCGCTAATAAAATGCTCATTTTCATGTAGGTTGCTAATGCAGGATATTGCCCATGCTTCCCATCGCCATTTCCAGTGTTACTGTTGTTCTTATCTCGGAGGGAAGAACACACATGTTCCCGATGGCTGTCTTAGAAATGGGGCTCCAGGGGCCTCAATGAAGACGAGCATTTTGCTTCTTCAGTTTCTGTGGTGTCCCCCTCCCCCCCGCCACCAGTGACCAAGGGGAGCAATGTGTGGCATGGGTGTGTTTGCAGAAAGCTGTGTTTTCAGTAGTTTACACACCAGGTTGAACTGTGCCACAAAGCAGGTATGCCGTGTTTTCAGGCAGAGTCTGTAAGGGTGACAATAAATTCTGTTTTGTAAGGAAACACGAGTAGAAATGGATCTCTTAATTCCCCTGGGTCCCAGTCACCTGGCCATGCCAAGTGACGTCTGGACGTGTGTGGTTTGGAACAGTAAACGGCACCTTCACTACGGAGATGCATTTGAATGCTTACAGATGTTTCCAGCTGGGCCAGTGTCAAGGTCTTGCTTTAGTTCCTTATTAGATGTGTGGGAATTATGCTTCAGCCTACTGGACAGATTTCAAATACTTAGGTCAGAGTACTTATGGGAAGCATGTGAAATCTTGAAAAGTTTGGGAGTTAGGGCCGTTTCTAATGGGCCTCTCCAGTGCATCCGATAGCTCGTCACCCTCCTTCTTCAAACTGAGCCCCTTTGGCTTCCGGAACACCAAACATTCCCGGTCTCTTCTGCAGGCTTCTCCCGCCGTTGGACACTGACATTCTCTAGGGCTTCACCCTCGGCCCTCTCCTTTATTCCCACTGCCTGATCTTCCTGAGAGTCTCACGCACAGTCTTGGCTTCAACTAGCCTGGAGACAGAGGGCTGTCAAACTGTCATCTCCGGCCCAAACCTCTGCCTTACACTTTTGATCTGCACATCCAAGTCTAGTGAGTCATTGCTTTCTGCGTGTGGCGCAGGCGCCTCCAACTCTGCTACGGCTTCGCAGCCAGGTTCTTTACTTAGCCCCACAGTCTGGCCTTTGTTCCATCTGAACGCCGCCTTCGTTGGTGGCCCCACCATCTGTCCCTCAGCCACTCGAAACGTCCCTTGCAACAACAGATCAATAACCAAGTTATCAAGACATTTTATACTAAAACTTCATTTAAATTTTTTATCGAAGTAACTCATGCCCATGGTTAAAAAGTCAAATAGTGCAGAATGGCTTAGAATAGAAAAGCAGTAGTTTCCTTGCCCCACCTTCCCTGCGCCCATTCCTTCTTGCCAAAAGGCCCACTTTTAACTGCTGTCACTGCTTCTTCTGGTAGCTACTGTTAAGTATCTAAGTTCTACACTTACACTGTTCTTTCCCCATTTGTCCTTGTGGACGTGTCTGCTGGTGTCCTGCCACACTTTTCTATCTCGCCTCCCCTCTTCGCCCAGCATAGTCATATCACTATTTTTAGTTTCTCTATTGGAGTAATTGTAGTAATGTAGTTATGCCTTATATCTTGCTTCTTTGCCTTTAGGTGGGATCACTTGGTCCTCGACTTAGTGAGTGAGGATCTTGCACCCGCCCCCTTCCCTTTAGCTCCTCTATTTCCTTTTCCTCGTTCCCCTTGTGTTGTGGGCACTGACTTTCCAGTAATCAAAATTGATCCTGTTTAGTTGATAAGTTAGTAAATTGATTTTCTCAGATCTTGGAGACATTACTTCCTTTTGGTCTCCAGTCTTGCTGATAAGTCTTATACTGATCTAATTTCAAGTGATCTATACTTTTTTTTTAACTTCAAAAATTTTTTTCTACTTTTGGGTTCTGAAACTTCTCCATTCATTTTCTTTTAGCTGCTGTCCAGTAAATTTGTTGTATTTATCTGAAAAATCTTTGTAGAAAATTGTGGTTTATTAGCTCTCAGCAGCCCGTTCCTGAGCTCTGAGGAAGCTTGCTTTCTTCGGAGCTACCTGATCTTTCTTCTGGGCAAGAGACGCTTTGGGATGACTCCATCTCTTCTCTTTAATTTCTTTCTTAGCCTGCTTTTTATAGACTGGGTTCTCTCGTACAGCAGCATAAGCTTTCTTATACATATCCTCCATCATGTCTGGAGTTACATTGTTCTTTATGTATTGAGAGAACTGTTTCTTATAAGCTTCTTCATCTTCCTCCATCAGGTAGTGCATATAATCTGCCGCATGCTGACCCATGATGTGCCTCCGATGCCTTTCCGCATTGAGTTCCTTGCTTTCTGGATCATAACCAGGGAATCGTTTGGTACTGTCAGGGATAGACAAGCCTCCACCCACAGCTCCCTTCAGGGGCCCAAACACTTTATTTCCAGTAGTAGTTCTGGCAAGCCCTGCCTCCAAATAGCAGGTGAAGGCACCAGGTTGACCATCAGTGCTTTCCACATTGTGTTCATCTCTAGTCACCTGCACTTGGCCTTCACAGATCCTGTCCGTGCCAAACCCGTTGAGAAGCTGCGGGCCAGCAGCAGGCCAGTACAGTGTGCTGCAGCGTAACTTGTCAGGCTGACCGTCACACTGTGCTTCGGGAGTTCGTGAGCATAAGCTGCACAGACTACCGTATCTCCTTCCACACGGTCATACGCAGTCTGACAAATGACATCTCTGTTGGCTGCACGAACTATCACCCTGTATCTGGGTGTGTCGTACTTATTTTCATCCTGGATTACCAAGCATTTCTGGGCATTGTAATCAGTTTTACCCTCTTGTCGTCTTCTGAATTTCACTTGGAATCTCTGGAAGTAGGCCTTATTTTTGACAACTTTTACAAACCCCGTCCTGCGGATGAAAGACCCACATCTACAGACCCACAGCTGGCCACAGACCTACAAGCCCAGCACAGCTCCGGTGCGGGGAGAAGCTCTCCATTCATTTTTAATTGCTATAAAATATTCCATGACATGAACATATGATAATTTACTGAGCGAGTCTACTACTTATGGATATTTGTTTCCAGTTTTACACTTATACACTTGTAAATAATACTGCTGTTTCCAGTTTTACACTATTATAAGTAATGCTGCTGTCCTAATAAATGGGAACTCATAGTTCCGCTAATATATATTGAGGAGTGGAATTGCTTATCATAAAACATATATTTCTTCAAATTTACTGTGTACTGCCGAATAGTTTTCTGTAGGAATTATACCAATTTATGCATCACGTTGCCAGGTTTAAAAAAAGTTGTTATTCTGGTGGGCATAGAGTGGCATCTTGTTGTTTTTCTTTACATTTTTTGTTGATGACTGATGAAGTTGAAGGTTTTACATGTCAGTTGGACATTTGGATTTCTACTTTACTGTTGGGTTATTTCTTCATTTCCAGGAGTTTTTAAAAAGTGTGTTTTGGATTTCAATTGTCTATCAGTTATATGTGTTCCAAACATTGTTTTCCACTCTGTGACTTGCCTTTCTATTTCCTTTTGGATATCTTTTAATAAACAGATTTTTAACATTTTATTGTGGCCCAATTGATCAGTATTTGTGGTTAGTACTTTTTCTTTCTTATTTAAGAAATCTTTTCCTAGTCAGAGGTCCAAGGTATTGATTTGAATCTTTTTTTCCTAAAAGCTCTGTTTCATCTCTCACATTGGGTCTTCAGCTGACCTGGAGCAGTTTCTGTGTGTGGTGTGAGGTCAGGCTCAGATTTCTGCACAAAAAGTGGAGACAGCAAACCTGTGTTTCTTTAACAACAACACCAGCATCAAGCATGTGATGGAGGCAGGGCCCCGTGTGGCTGAGCCTTTGCGTGTCTTCAAGGTGTGTCTTCCGTCTGTCCTCAGTGCATGCTCTGCTGCCTCTGTCCCTCCCGGTGGCCCCTTATCAGCCGTCATCCTGCTCTTGGTCAGCGTGTTCTTGAAGGTGGACAGAAAGGAAAAATATGTTACCTTCTGATCTTGTAAACATTCTATTTAGCTCTAGTTTGATGTTATTTGCATGAATCATTTTATACCAGGAAAGCTAATACATTTTTAAAGTACAACTTATTATAAAGCAAAATCTAAAACTTGAGCGATGCCTATTTTTGTTTCAATATTGAAGTGCTACCCATATTTTGAACGCAGTCATGCTCTTAACATGTAGATCTTTAATTTCACTAAAAATTTATTGGAACTTGCAAGTGTGAATATTAAAATTAAACCCAACTTATTTTAGAAATAGTCTAAAAGAACAAAAAAATGAAAGAATAGTTAAAAAACCTAGAAAAGAATATTTCTATTTGAAAAAATAAAGAAGGAAAGAAAGAAAGAAAGAGGACAGAAAGGAAGAAAGGAAGAAAAAAAAGAAAGAAAGAAAGAAAGAAAGAAAGGGAGGGAGGGAGGGAGGCGGGGAGGGAAAGGAAAGGAAAGGAAAAAGAAAAGCAAGTTTGGGGCAGCAGTGATTATTTTCTGCATTACAGGTCTATTGGAAAGAAAAGAAACATACAGCTGGAAGGAATTTAAAAGTCATCTAGTGCAGGATTTTACCTCTAAGAAGTGGACTATTCTCACTTTTAATATAATTGCAGAAAAGAAAATTCCACACTCTTTCCTAGTAATATTTAATATACTTCACTGTCAGATAATTTTCCTTGTGCTATGTCTTAAGTCCATTTTCTTATTCTAGTTGAAATGGAAACAGAGAAATCGGGCCAACCATCTGTGTCTGTAATAATTCTTCATTTACTTGATGGTCATTACTAAATCCCTCAGCCTTCTCTTCATGGTATAATCTATTATGTTTGTTTAGTACTTTCTTTTAAGCCAGTTTCCAAATCATCTATTTAATGTTTTTTTATTCCATCTGAATTCTTCCTGTGTCATCTATAAATTATGATTCATAGGCTCAAAAACTGAACATAATACTTTTGCCAAGGTATGACCAAATGCTAGTTAATCAATAGGGATGATATTCTAGAGAGTTCTCGGAGACTTCTGATGTGAATTTCTTTTCATGATAAAAGGTGTTTTGATGTACGGCTGTGCACGGAAGTTTGAACACACTTGTTTATCTCTCCTTTCTGAGACTGCCCAAAATGATAGGTGACAAATAAAAAGGTGTAAGTCAACGTGGACAAAGGACATGGGAGACGAGGTGGAACACTCAAAGCCTCGTGTCCACCGAGAGGGAAGTCAGCCTGCAGAGCAGGATGTGTGGTCAGGACACGAAATCTCTGCGCTTGGAACCACAGACGTGCTAGAAGACAGGTGTGAAGGGCGAAGTCGAAAACCGGTGATGCTAGTTAGACCCCTCCTACTCTAGGTGGCTGGATGGATACCCCTGGCAGATACATTTTCTAGAGAAATTAGATCAGAGAGGCATTGTACTGGGAAAAAAGATACAGATGACAGTATGGGTAAGATCTCTTTCGGGCATCCAGAACTCTGACAGTTAGGTTTATATCCCTCTATCCCTGGATCAGAGGATTAGAAGATTCTTGTCTGGGAAACTGACTGGTTGAGGAGAAAAGACATCCAGAGGTCTCCCGTAAAACAGCTGGGTCTCCCACCCATTCATACCATGCAAGTTCAGCTGTCTAGGTCTCACAGGGGACTGCCGAGGATCACCACATTTCCGAGGGTCAGGAATGAATGGGATCAAAACAAATCATCAGGACAGAAGTTTCAGAAGAAGCAGAGGGAAAAGCAGGGAGGACAAAACTTCCCAAAATTGTAATTGATCACCTTTGAGAGATTAGAGAGGATATTTCATTCACAAAACGGGGCTTGGAAATTAAAAAAATATAATAGCAGAAATTAAAAATTCAAAATTAAAAATCAAAGAATTGCAATGTTGATGGCACTGTCCTGAAAGTAGAATGAAAACACAGAGACAGCAAACATGAGAAGAAATAAGCTGTGTTTAGCAAGTTCAAAATCTGACTATTAAGAGTTTTAGAAAGAAAATGCAGGGGAGAAAAGTGTAGAAGAATGATATAGAATAGTTTTCAAAAAATGAAGGATATCAGTTTTCCTATGGACTGGGTGCGTTGAGTTCCCAGCACAATTAATGGAAACAAGGCCAATTCCAAGACACATCTGATAAAGTCTGTGAATAAAATAAAATTTTCCTAAAAGTTTTCACAGAGAAAAAAGTAGGTCACATACAACGACTCAGCAAGCAGGCTGGTGTCTGACTTCTCAACCGTAATAGTGAAATTGAGAAGAAATGGAGCTATACGTTCCAAATCTGGGGAAAATAATTTCCAATTTGGAATCTTGTACCTGGCCAAACTGTCAGTCAAAAGCAAGGGCAGAATAATGCTATTTTCAGACAGACATGAAAGGTCTCAAAAACTGGCCTCCCATGTACTGTTTCTTGGGTAGTTCTTGGAGGAGGTACTCTACGAAGGTGAGAGAATAAGCCAAAAATGATGCAGCAAGTGGGGCAAAGTGAAGGCGGATCCCTGATGGGAAGTAAAGAGAAGTTCCGGGCGGCACCTGGATATCACCTGTGTCAGGGCTGGAGAGCAATCTTTCCAGGTCAGACGGGAGGAGAGACAGGCCAGGAAATAAGGAAACAAACAACAAATCAGAAAGATCATCTGGTGTGTTTATCTTTGATGAGATGAGTTTTCTAGGTCTGTGCTAGAGTGTGGGGAAAATTAGTGTTAGATGCGTAAGAAAAAAATCAGGCAAATGAAAAATTGAGGTAATCATGTTAGGAAAAACAAGTGATTGTATAAGAAAAGAAATATAGTATACTGTGGGGCTCAGTTATGAATAATATTTAAACACAATAATGTAAGGCAAATATTAAGCATTACTGTAACCAAAATTGTGATACAGTTCAATTGAGAGGATTTTTGGGTGGAGTGCAGGGTAGCAAGTGTGGAAGAAAGCTGAATTCTCATCTTCCACAGCAGGAAGCCAATAGACATTAGAAACCGGTAAGAAATAACAATTTTTTAAAAACATTTTTTAAAAAGATTCTATTTATTTATTTTTAGAGAAGGGAAGGGAGAGAGAAAAAGAGAGAGCGAAACATCAATGTGTGGTTGTCTCTCATGTGACCCCCACTGGAGACCTGGCCTGCAACCCAGGCATGTGCCCTGACGGGGAATCAAACCTGTGATGCTTTGGTTCGCAGCCTGCGCTCAATCCACTGAGCTACACCAGCCAGGGCAGAAATAACAATTTAAGAATATTTGTTAAAATATGAATTAAATACTAAAAGAAAGAGCTGAAAGTTGAAAGTGATTGCCTTTGGTCACTAGGTCTCAAGAATATAGAAACTGGGTTAAAATACTAGAAAATAGGTCTTTTACTCTACTGAATGTATCTATATCTATTTGTGTCATTGAATTACATATGTAAAACATTTAGAAGCGTTCCTTGTTTCCTTGTAAAAACTATTTTTCCCTTCTGTTAAATGAAAAGTACTATAGTAATTTGACTCAATACTGTGGCAACGACATGTCCTGAATTTTTCTAGGTTGTTCGGATTTCAAACTTTACCACATTCATAACTATCTATACTCGCAGTTTACAAACTGTGTGCTTTGCTCATTTGCTTTTTTGTGTGTGCATGGTGCGTCTTGTGGTTTTAGAAAAACGGGGTCGCCGGAGCCGGACCTCATCAGCCCCTGTCAGGATCTTCCATCCTTGGCTGCCTGGAGACTTTGGGAGGAACAGCATATTGTGGTTTCGTCTGGTAATTTGACTCATTTAGTTCTTCAGAGTTTTCCTTTTAGTTTTATTTTTTACTACTTAATATACTAATTTCGTTCGCCCAGAAACATGTACTGATGGCCTGTTATGTTTGAAGCCCTGTCCTGGGTGTCCGTGAAGTCCTTGCCGTCAGCATATCAGCCATCCACGGACTCATCTGACAAAATCAGTGATGGCATTTTATACTTTCTCAGCATTAGTTATTATTTAAAAAAAAATAGACATAGGCAAAGGATTGCTTTTCCAGGATAAGTCTGTGAGAAAATTCTCAAAATCTCATTTTCCACAAAAGCCTTACCTGTGAGTTTAAATTTTTCAATGAAGTGTTCATTGTTCTATAGAACAGTCTTTACTGGGGATTTTATTCATTTCCTGCATCCCTGCACCCTGCTGCAGCAGAGGCGATGCCAAGTACGGTGGCCCTTCCCCTGCTGTGAACCGGCCTCTCTGCACAGGTGAGACTCACCCTCAGTTCAGTCGAGTCCAGAAATTTGACTTCAGTGGGTTCATGGAAAACAGTGTGTTTCTAGCCTCAGGAATCACAGGGCAGTGGCCTTGCTGTGCTTCAGTCCCACCCCAGGGAACCGCTGGGCAGCTGTGGTCTCCCCGTCCCTTGTCCTAGGAGCTAAGTTATTGAAAACAGAAAGCATCTGAAAGAATGGGCTGGCTCCTCTCAGGGCCCCCACTGTTTGTATCTGAAAGCTTCTGTTTTTGAAAGGAAAAAGGCCTAATGTCTCTTCTACAAACTGTAGTTTATTTGTTGTCTCCTTAGAGGGCTTTTCTTGTTTCTTAGATACACAATCTCCATCTGGAGTACAGGGTTGTGTCCATGGTTTTCCAGCCAGTGGGCAAAGGTCAGACCTACTGTATGAGTCAGAACTCTGTGCTGGAGTGGTTTGAACTTTTAGCCGACAGGGGTTTATTAATCTACCCCTGGTTTCCTCCCTGCATGATTATGGGGACATACTCCATATTCTCTGGAAATGTAATGATATTTGGATAAGCCAAGTTGAGATCCTCTCTAGGATTTGTAGCATCAGAGTGGTTAGAAAAGAAAAAAGATCATTTAAGCAGGTGCATATTTATTTGGGGGTCAGCTTTGGTTTAGTTTTATTTCTAAAACAGTAAAATCAGAGTTTTCTTTTTCTTCAGAATTATCATGAAGCTCTGTAGTTTTTTTCTTCACTGCTGGAGAAAAAAAGTAACGTTTTATATGCTTATTTTAATTATGTTTATCGTGTCCAGTGTTTCAGTAATGAAAGTTACTTGGTGATAATTTGTATCCTGTGTCTTTTAACTGTATATTTAAAAACCAGTGGAGATGAGTCCTATTAAATTATAACTGTCTTAAGATGGAGTTGGGGAAATAAAACCTTAGTCTCTGCGGTGGTGGCTCATGTTCCAGCTGTCTGCTCTGGGTTACGTTGTTGCCTCTGGCCAGGAGCAGGTTTATTATTAGGGTTCTGTCTGAATCTACAGTGTGTCCTTGTATGTCCTTGTGGCCATGTATGTCCTTGTGGCCATCAAGCTACTCTCGTTCTGTAAACTAGATAGCGGCAAACAACCTGTAAAAAGTTCATGTCTCCTTAATAGAAACCCTTTCCATTAGCAGCACCAGGTTATAATGCAGGCCAGATTTAATGACGGCGACCTTTCCCCATTAGAATAATTGACAAACAAAATATTTACCCAGGAAGAGCTCGTGTTTTGTTTTAAGCCTTGTTTGGGGGGACCCCAAACCATCTGCCCATTTGGTGGTTTACTAGAAGGACGCCCAGGGTCAGCACAGAGTCGGACTGTGGCTAAGATGGGTCGCAGTGACAGTGAGGACGCACAGCCAGTGTAAGGGGGAACGACACAGGTGGCGCCTGGAGGAGTCCACGTGCGGTCTTCCCACACAGGCTGTCTCCGTGAGAGGTCCCACAGAGTGAGCCCTGCCTCACAGCGAAAAGCGCATCTTACTGTCTCCAGTGTTTCTGCTCAGGGAAGCCCATTGGAGACTGAATTTGGGGTTTTTATTGGGGTCG